GTGGCAAAATACCAATATGTCATCGCACGCTCATACAACATCTCGCACTGCTCAGGATGCACAGTGACCATAGTCTGCGTTTGTAGGAGGTTGGCATCAGGTCGCCTGAGAAAGATGTAAGGAATGCTATTGCCGATGGCACCTGGTTTCCCTGCGCTGCCCCGTGAGCCATCAGAGACAGCGAGGTAAGAACCTGCTTCACCGCCGTTAACGTTAATGTTTGCGCGCAACTGGCTACTGTCATTAACGAACTGCGTCTGGAGAGTTTGGCGGACCTCCCAAACAGCATCCTTGGCATCATCAACTGTCGGACTATCTGAAGAACCGACAACGCGATCACAGATTATCTGAATGGGTGCAACGAGCGCGACAAGATCCTTTATGGATGAATCTCCTGATGGAATGGTAGCCGAAATGGGACGTGAGTCCGCTTCAGCAGTCTTCAAAATTCCAACAAGATCGAGGTAGGCAGGGTGTTGGACTGTGAGAGTCGAGTTAGAATCGTATTTGCTGCGCGCAAATGCATCACAAAGGCTTGACACGTTCGTCATTGCATGGTATGCCACAAGCTGAACTTGGCCTCCAAGCCCTCCGTTTCCAGCAGTCGCCCCTTTCTCTCGGGTATCTCCACCATTGCCTCCCTTCGCTGAGAGTCGGAAGTGGGAGATTGTTTGGCTGCTACAGTTCTCGATGTACATAGAGAGCTTGCCTGCATTTTGACCATCCAGTGATCCCGTGGGAGTTCCGCCAGAAAGATTATCAGCTCCAGAAGCAGCGACAATGCTAAGAGATGGGTCATTATCGGCCGGAGAATCAACCAAGAATAAATCGTGGGTGGAAATTGTGCAGTTCGAGTCTGCATCGAGGTCAACGGCAAATGATTTGGAGAGCTGAATAGATTCAGCAAAAGCATAGAAACCTTTGCGATTCACAGCAGTGCTGGGGCCGAAGTCGGAATTCTCGCCAAGTGATATGCCTCCTTCCGCAACGGAAAGTTGAATATTCCATTCGTTGTTCAGCTGATAAAGACGGAAGGACTGATCAGGAGGAAGACGGATAGGTTCCGAGTCTACAGTGTTCAAGTTCGTTAGTATGAGCCAGTGAATTGAGCTGCGTATTTAGAGATTGAGCTCACCATTGGTGTTGGCCATGACTTCCAGGGGAGTATGGAGATACAAGGATAGCCCAAAGTGAAAAGCTGGGGACCACGAAGTTGGGGAGATACCATTAGTTTACTCATTACTTAAAAAAGTTCTTTGACTTCTTTTCGATAAGGTGCCACTTGGGCAATGGCATATTGGCACTTGATGTGATGACAGCTTCTGCGTGGCCACCGTTCAAGCTGACAAGGGAAGGCTCGTAGTAGAAACTTTTAATAAATTGAACAACGCGGATTATGGACGTTGCATTATGTATTTGTGATTGTTTATATACGATACTGTTCGTCTCCGTTTCTTTCTAAATGTGAACGCATAAACGACCAGCTGCTTTGTTACGCACTGCTGTGAAGACCGCAAGTGGCGCTTCAGGGGTTTCCGCGTCTTTCGTGAGCTTGTGATGCTCTGTTCATACATTGGCTTTGTTCCGAGTGTCAACCTAGTGTCTTGTGACGCACAAAGGTCTAGGAGAGCATTATTGCGGGAAAATTTTGGACTCGGCGGTCGATGAACGTCCGAGTAAGAATGACTGCAATCTCTTTAGAATTTGCACTGTACCTTTCAAAGATTATTCGACGTCGGATGCAGCGGCTTTTTGCAAAGTGGATAGATCCCTGCAACTCCAGAAGCATAAATACTTTCATCTTTCTGTCCTTCACTTCTCATAGCCTGACTGAAAATCTGCGGTGCGTGCATTCCTCTTTGGCTGCGGTTCCTCCCTTACATTGAGCAATAATGGTTATAGAAATGACCACAACAGCGGAGATGGAAACCTACCTCAACGCTATGCGTAGAGATGGCATCACGCAAAACTGGGATGCTGTTGTCACCTATGATGAAGTCAGCATCAACAATCTCCTCCTCGAACGATACAAGGAACCAAACACAGGTGAATGTCCTATGTAGACTCTTGAAAAGAAAATTGACTAATTTTGCGGAAACCCAGGTCTCTCAACCAAAGTGGAACCTTCGTTCCAAACCTCAGATCGAGATGGCGTTGATTACACGCAGTACTATTCTTTTGACCTCGGGCCTCCCCTCATCCAGTTCCAGGATACCCCAAATGAACCGACGTGCAATTTGACCATGCCCATTGTATCTGGTCGCATTTGGAGTGTTGACACCGCAGATGGGAAGGTGCATCCAACAACCGAGCTCCAAGGAGGGGTCTATTCCATCACTATCAACAAGATTAGCCTGGGCACGATTAGTGGGGAGACAGAGGCCGGCAACATCAAGCACGGTAATGACATTGTTGAGTTTCCGCTCGATAAAGTTAGTGATGAGCAGATTGTCATCAACTTTCCTGCTAGTGGCGATCTCGACTTTCATGTTACGTACCCAGACAGCCTACCAGAGAAGGACATACCTTGGGCTATGCGTGAGAACAACCTGCTCGTTGCTCTTCGCACGTACTTTCCAGCGACGGTCAATGCTATACACTATGCACTTGCCGGGATCAACAATCAACCACCGACTTCTGGTGTTCTTGACCTCATTCCGCGAGCATTTCGGATTGTGACTTACAAAGATACCAGCGCATCGCAAACTAATGTGAAATCGTATCTTTCGGTTCTTATCCAGACTAGGGGATCCACTGTCGAGGGGAACACAAAGGAACTCCAATCCAGTTGGAATGCGCAGTGGGCTACTGCAAATATCAACCCAGTGCCGACAGGCAAGAGTGCGTCCATAATCCTCGACAATGCGTTCTTTATCACATCTTTCATTACGCCAAACCTCAAGAATAGCAATCAAATCACCGATGTAGTTGCAGAACCCTTGGGAGCAGATGAATCAGGTTTGAGGGTCAAGTGCACATGGAATTCATCTGTCAAGCTGCCTTCGAAACATTTTGAGGATGAAGACAACATTCCTTTTGGATCACTTGGGGATCAGAAGCTCACCAAAGCGGATGTACCTGCTTTTGATCTTAATCCCAATGATCCTCAGGGACTTCCCCTTCGCATAACATTTGGGCAGGCAGTAAGTACATCAAATTTACCTTGGACCATATGCCATCTGACCGGGATCATACTGTTTACAGAAAGGGCTTGACCAGCCTGCAACTATATCCCTGGAGTGGAAGTACAGCTATCATCAGAATTGGTCAGGAGTCATGAGCCACAAGTCTGTTGGTCGTGGTGGCATGGTTTGGCAGGTTGATGATAATGTCTCGGGCGGGTTCACTGCTACGTTTACATTAAACAAGGTCTTTGACATCAAGAGTTTGACTCAGGAAGATCTCCGCATCAGCATTGATTTTGGCAAGGTAAATATTAATTCCAATTTTGAGACTTGTAGTCCTAAAACTCACTCTGTGGACCTGACAGGATGATTGGAAGGTGGAGACACATCCAGATGAAAGCGGGGATGCCTGGAATAAGTTTTTGGCTGCTTTTGGAGGCAGTGAAAAGGTTGGATTCCTTCCAGATTTCATCAAGGACAATGCTATTGAAGGCATTGGCTTCACCTTCAACTTTGATACATTACGATTCTTTTCTATCACAAATGTTTTCCGTGAGTTTCCTTGCATATTGTATTGTTTATTAATCCACTGAAATTACTATAAAAACCAGTTCCAGGACGTAAAGTTATCGATATTGATGACAAGACAGGGTTGCGTATTCCGCGTGATCTTGTCATTGTTGGAAATGTTGTTGCGTCCACCAGCCCCCCAAGTTCCTGATTCTTGCATCATTATGTTTTGGGAGGGATTAAACACTAGACAAAGTCTCGAAGTGATGTATAAAGTAGTGGAACCATATTCGTTTTCTTTCGCTCGCATTTTTTGAAATTTTACAATTCGGAGGCATCTTTACCTATGTAAATGTACTGCACTTTCCTTGTAAGGAACAAGCTATAAAACGAAGCGTCCTTTGCTTCACCGGACGCTTGGTAATTCTGGGCTTAAATTTGGCAGAGACTCTTGGTTACTCGGACGAGAGCTCTTTGGGACACAAATCCGAGCTAAGCGAATTTTTTGCCCATTTTTGGATGGGCCTCTCTACGCGAGGGTTTAGCCATTCGGCAGGTGCCTACGCGGTCACTGGTTTGCTTATAAGCTGTTACGATGTGCTGAATATATCGTGACACCTTCTGAATGACCGCAGAGAGTCAGAATGGCTTTGAAAGTTTCCAAATAGCTGGAGCAGAAAAGGAATCTCTCCTTTCAAAACTTTAGTATTGCAGGGCTGTCTCGCTGACAATTTGGGTCAGGCAATAAGAGACCCCCATACCTACATTCAACTCTCAACCACTCACTCCATTTCCACGACGCCAGTTGTATCAACTTCCCGATCAGGTATACATACCAACACAATCCCGCCGAATGATTTTCCCAACAGAAACACCACAGAAACTATTTCACCGACTCTTGATCTCCCTGACATTGACAATGATCCCCTCAGTCCTCTTTCATTTGAATCATTCCTCCCAGAGTGTTCATATGACTCCGGGCAGGGGGATGAATTTCAAAGGTGAGATTGGATGCTAACTCCATTATAATAAATACAACACGACGATATACCGAAACCGAGGCAAACGCGCTTGGCCGTATGCGCTCAAATCAACGTGAGGTAGTCCAAGAGGTCAAGTGTGCCGAATGGCCGAACCCTCGCGTAGACATGACTAAGAGACCCATCCAAAAATGGGCATTCTGTCATGTTTTGTGACCACCTTCTGCCGCCAGTGTATTCTTCCTGTACCACATAAAGCGGGACCCGTTAATTTAAATTTTAAGGAGTCTCGATCGTACCTCGTGGCCTCGAGTCGGAGGTATAAATGCCTCCGCAAACTCTCGATCATTGTACCTATTACTTCTACGTTGAGTGCAGCAAGCGTGCATTAATGGGGTAGTGGTAACCTGGGTCGTTGCCATACGGAGACCTAGGTTTCGACCCGCCGGGGGTTCGATTCCCCCTTAATGCATGGTTGGTATAGGTACCTGCTTTTTGAGTAGTTTTCGCATTTAAGAATAGTTATAGGTGTATGAACATTCATTCTGTAAACGTTGTAAACAAAAGTATTTTATTTTGGATACACTAAACAACAGCGTAAACTTCTCCCATCTTGCCAACCATCTCTTCAAACTTGTCTGCCGAAACGAGCATGAGTCTTCCTCTCGTGTCCAACCCAAACGAGTCTTTTTCCCGCGGTTCCGGTTGGGAGGAAAAGGGGTAGTTGATCTCGTGTTGAGCAAACTGCGAAATATTAGCTGAAGAATTAAGAAAAAAGACTAGTTATTCACCTCCTTGATACACTCGTCCTCTGGATGAAATGAATACACCCCATCCTCTGGTCTAGGTACACTATCCAACGTATCCCTCCCCGCTTTCTTCTTCTTCTTTTTCGAAGAAACGTTTCTCGACTGAGAATTTGCAAGATGCGCCTCATCATCCAACGAGAGATGATACGTCCTCGAGGGAATCAACAAGTGCGTAAAAGCAAACGCCGAGTTTTCTGATAAAGCAACTCGGAGTTCCTCTGCGAGCATACGATACATGTGAGGAATGACTTGAACAGGCATGTTGATGAGACGTTCGCAGAGGACGAGACCGACATGAGAGGTTGTTTGGGAAAAGAGTGTTTGGAGGGTGTTGTGGAGTCCCGTGTCCGAGGAGGACTTTTGTAAAAAGTAGTTTGCGAGAGCGGCTATGGATGGATGATCTCTATGTACGTGCATATTGAGCACGGTGAGCAGAGCATATGGGTCGCTGTCTTCTCCGTCTGTTTTGATAGTAGTCCCGATAGTGGGTTGGGAGAGGATGAGGTCAGCGAGGTCGTGTAGATGGAATCGGTCTGCGTCTTTTTGGAATAGCTGGGTGAGGAGACGTTTTATGGCATGGTAGTCGACTGAAGGGTTTGGGTTGAAAAAGTCAAAGTCGACATCGATGAAGCTCTGGTTGATATTAGAGAGTGAATGGGGATGGATGGGATGCTTACAATGTCAGAATCAGAGTCTGGCTCGTCTGTGGATTGTTTTCGTTTAGACATGGAAGAGATGGTTATCTAATCCGACTCTTTTCTTTGATTCACCATGACGAAAACGTATCAAATGAATAGTCTGGTCGAAAAGGTGGATAACAAGCTGAAAGAAAGAGTGGTACTAACTATGAACAGATGCAGTCGCCGGACCAGGACTTTCGGTTCATGGGTCTCAACGACCTGATGACCGAGATCAAGGCTGATCCAAACTGTTTTCTCGGAGACGAGACCGTCGAAAACAAGGTGCTGAACCAGGTCCTTTCTCTCGTCGAAGACAAGATTTCAGAAGTCAAGAACCAGGCTGTCAAATGTCTCGCTCAGCTCATCAAAATTCTCCGTCCAGGCCAGATGGAGATTGTCGTCGACAAGCTCATCGACTTTTCAGGTGGCAAAGACGAGGAATTGCGCGATATTTCTGCCCTTGCTCTCAAGACCATCACTGCAGAGCTGCCTCCAGACGGCAAGGTCGCTGCATCTGCGTGTGCAAAGCTGGCGCCCAAGCTCCTCGGTCAGATCGAGAACGCGTCGACACCACCCGAGGCTCTGGTAGAAACGCTCTCGATTCTTTCCATCCTCATCAGTCGGTTCCCGGCTCATTTATCTACATCCAATCTCCCAACCCCGCCACTCGTCGTCCTCGCCCCGCTTCTCTCCCATCCCCGTCCAGTCGTACGCAAACGCGCTATCGTCACCATCTCCCAGTTTATTCCCATTTCTCAACCAGCGCTCTTTGATGAGCTCCTCAAGTTGCACGTGTTTCCCCATCTTGATCCTTCAGCAAACGTGGACAAGCAGAGAACTACCGTCCAGCTTTTGGCTGCTGTCGCGAAAAACTCGTCTCCTCAGATTGCTCCTGTTCTGGGAGAGATTGTCCCTGGCATCCTCAAGGCTGTTCAGAGAGATGACGATGAGCTGAGAGAGAGTTGTTTACAGACGCTCGAGGCGTTGTTATTGAGATGTCCGATGGAGATTTCGCCGTACATTTCCATGGTTATTCAGGTTGGGAATCAGTTTATCAAGTATGATCCGGTGAGTGTCAACTCGTGTGTTTTTCTTCGCGTTACTCATGTGCGTAGAACTATGCTGGTGACGATGAAGACGAAGAAATGGCCGATGTAGACGACGAGGATGACGAGGATGCTGAACTGGACGAGTATGTAACCTGATTCTTGTTTATTGCAGCCTCTCAATTCTCTATCTAGGTACTCGGACGACGAAGACACCTCGTACAAGATCCGTCGTTCTGCTACCAAACTACACGCCGCACTGATCGGCACACGACCAGAACAACTCTCCACCATCTACAAAGAAATTTCTCCTGTCCTCATCTCTCGTTTCGGGGACCGCGAACAAACCGTCAAAGTCGAAGTCTGGTCTACCTACGTCACTCTTCTAAATCAAACTGCTCTCTATGGTGGACTCCAGAACAAGGACAAGGAGGATATCACTCATGGAAAGAGAAAGAGAGACACGGAAGAGAGTATGGACGTCGAAGAGGGCCCTTTTGCGCTCTTGAAATCCCAAGTCCCTACCCTCTCCAAAGCCCTCTTGAACCAACTCAAATCACCCAAGACCCCACCTGCCACACTCCAAGCCGGGTTCACACTCTTGTACTCGCTCCTAAACGTCCTCCCAGGATGCCTAGCTTCCCAAACCCAACAAATCATCTCCACAGCCAAATCAGTCTTGTCACAGCCTCCAACAACGTCCACTGCGACACTGTACCTCTCCACGCTTTCTTTCCTCTCGCTATTTTTCTCTACGCATTCTCCACCGACATTTGTGTCTCTTCTTCCATCTCTAACGCCCTCCCTGCTCAAATCGGCTGGCGAGCGTCATCCCAAAGTGGCAGCAGAGTCGTTGCGTGTGTTTAGTTCTCTTTTACAATCACTCAAACCTATCAAGCCCTCTTCGGGCTTTGACTGGATCGAACCATTATACAACGAAACACTCGCTCGCCTCTCCACGCACGATACAGATTCCGAAGTCCGTTCATCAACCGAAGATCTCGTAGCTGATCTATGGATCTGTGCACCAGAGATTCTAAAGAACAAGGATAAACAAGAATGGACGTATATCTGCAGACCTACCACTACGGGGAACACAAAGGTAGAAGGAGGCATAAGGGTCATTTCTCGAGTTGCGAGAGAACCAGCTGTAACGAGTGTTATCGGAGATCAATGGGTTAATGGATGTATGGATTGGTTACTTGGGGTGTTGAAGAATAGAGGGTTGACTGCGTCTGCTTCTGCACCTACATCTGCATCAGGATCTGGAGCAGGCACAGGCACAAGTCTACGAACAGGCAAAGTCGAAGTCTTCACCGCCATTGATACCCTCTTGAAAGCCTACACCCCGCCCTCGTCTATCCCCCCAGGTCTTCCACCGACATTAATTGCGCAGATCAAACCATTCCTCTCTCTATCCACTTCATCTCTGGATATATCCCTCCTCTCCCAATCACTCGTCACGCTATCCATCCTCCTCGACGTCGCACCGAAATTGACGTTCCCAGAGGTGGAAAAGAGTTTGTTGAATGAAGTGTATGCTGTGAGTTGTGAGACGACGCTTGGTGGAGGTGTGGTTGTGGATAGTCTTTTGGGATTCTATGAATCGCTGGTTAGAGCTGATCCGGAGATTGCGACGCATGTGGTACCTGGCTTGGTTATTGTTACGCAGAAGACGGGTGCGGGGGGATTGGGAGCGGCTGCCACGACGGCGGTGGGGTCTAGGGGTGCTGGAGCTGGAGCTGGAGCGGCGACGGCGGTGGCGGGAGTTGGAGGAGGCCCGAATTTGGGGACAGTAGCAAAGTGTGTTGCGCAGGTTGTCAAGACGAATCAGGGTGTTGCGGCGGGGGTTATTGCAGAGTATTCGAAGAATCTCAAGGTTTGTGGTTTATCTTTTCTTTTCATTGGTCGACTGACTGACGTTTTTCTTAGCCCTCATCGAAAGCCAAACCATCCATGGTTATTCTCAGTTTGTTGATTATGGGAGAGTTGGGGAGGTTTATGTGAGTCTTGCTCTTATGCTCGTTGAAAATTCCTAATCATGCTCTTTCCTTCCTCGCAGTGACATGTCGCCTCAACAAGAAATATTCACCTACGCCATCGAACACTTTTCTTCTTCCCCCTCTGCTTCTACAGACCAACAAAACCTAGCTCAAGAAGAACAAGTCCGCTCCGCAGCCGCATTCGCCGCAGGAAACATCGCCATTGGTAATTTGCATCAGTTCTTACCCATCATCGTCAAGATGGTCCAAGGACGAGGACAAGGACAGGACGGCGCGAATGAAAAGAAGAAGAGGTTATCCAGTCTTTACGCATTAAAGGAAGTCGTAACCCACTGCTCACACGGTCAACTCGAAGGTGTAGCAGAGACGCTCTGGGTTCCCTTGTTTGAGAATTCGGAGAATGCGGAAGAGACGACGAGGAATGTGGCTGCTGCGTGTTTGGGGAAATTGGCTACGACGCATCCGGGGAAATATTTGCCTCAGCTTCATGTGAGTGTTCACTTCGTATAAAAGGACATGGGCTGATTGTGATCTGGGGTACAGGCAAGGATCAAGGATGAGAATCCCTCTGCACGAGCAACTGTCGTTTCTGCTATTCGGTATACTTTTGCAGAGAATGTTCAGTCTTACGACGAATTGCTTTCTCCTCTTCTTGTCGATTTCTTGTCGTTGATGACAGATCCGGATTTGGTGCGCATCTCTTTCATCTTGCACATTTAGAGAGAACCAATCCCTCCTTCCTTGTACAGACCGTCCGCAGACTAGCCCTCTCCGCACTCAACTCTGCAGCACGTACCAAACCCCACTTGCTCAAAGACCATCTCAACGTGCTTCTACCATATCTGTACGAAGAGACAAAACTCAAGTCCGACTTGATTCGCGTCGTTCAAATGGGTCCTTGGCAACACAAGGTGGATGATGGGCTCGAGGCGAG